ATGAAGGTGGGAAACTGCGTCCAGTTTTCTACTACAGTCGTAGGTGTACTAAAAGTGAAGGAAAATATGCCAGTCATGAACTCGAGGCATTAGCAATTGTTGAGACGCTTGAAAGGTTTAGACTTTACCTACTCGGAAAGTGTTTCAATATTGTCACAGATTGCAATTCCATAGCAACAACAAAGGCGACACCCCCTCGTATAGATAGATGGTGGTTTAAATTGCAGGAGATTGATTTTACTATTACTCATCGCTCAGGTGCCAAGATGACTCACGTGGATGGGATGAGCAGAAGTCCAATGTAAGTACACCATCTAGGAATACAAAGACTGCTCCGGTTATAACAGCGTTGCGAGAAGTTATGTCGATTTTCGGACAGCCACGAAGAATTGTATCGGATAAGGGAAAGGCGTTCACGTCTAAAGAATTCCAACAGTTTGTGGAACACAACGGAATACAACATGTACAAACAGCAGTCCGAACACCAGGAGCTAATGACCCAGCCGAGCGGATCAACCAAACAGTTTTGAATGCTTTAAAATGTCTAGTGGGTGATACAAAAGAACGGGACACTGAAACAACAACGATACAGTGGAGTATTAACACGCAGCTGAATGCATTTCGATGTTAGAGAAATTTAACAGCAGACAGTTGCTAACATCTGTGCACAAAAGGAAAAATGGAAAGCAAGATTTGACCGCCGTCATTCCAAGCCAACTCAGTACAAGGAAGGCGATTTGGTGGTGATAGGTGATAGACACGGTACCACAGCCTACAGGAAAATCGCATAAGTTGGATGCGCGGTATAAAGGACCATACATCGTCACGAAAATTATCGGACACGATCGTTATCTCGTAGAATATCTGCCCGATTTAAGTTTGAAGCAAAGGAAATATTGCGGTAGATTCATTTGTCGATCTTGGCCTCTTGATGAATCCGAAATTAAATTTAATAGAAATTAAATTTAATTACATTGGAATATAATTGATTTTGTTTTGCCTTCTTCTGCTAGCAGGCTAAAATTAATTAGATTGCCTACAGCAGACGTATTATATTGAACTCCATGTTTGTACTAAAAATATTAAATGGTAATATACCTTCAGATTTCCTAGGCTCATCTATTAGAATTAATGTTTCGTTTAGATCTAGTAGATACTACCAATTTTTAAATACCGTTTTTCACCGCACGAATTATTCAATGGGCGAACCTCTTAGTAAAATATGTGTTGAATTTCTGTGTACTGTAATGTAGATTTTGGTATGAGTTTAGAAGTTATTAAATCTAGAATAATTTAATTTTTTACCAATGACCAAATAATTATTAACATTGGGAACAAAGCGACCTTTGTAATCAAAATTTAGAAGGAAGTTTTAGACATTACTTTTTGTTCAGGAAATCTTATACACGAAATCCAGAATTGGAGGGTTTCGGAAGAACACTCTTTTTCGGATCATCGGTATATAAGATTTGAAATAAAATGGCCGCCGCCGAACCCAATACATTTCCGGAACAAATTCAAGACTGACTGGATGAAGTATGGGAGACTAGTAAAAGAAAGGCTAGTACAGGGAAACATTGAATGGTTAAGCATAGATGATATAGACAGAGATGTCAATAGGTTAACCGAGACCTTAGTAAAGTCATTCGAGGAATGCTGTCTGCGAAAAATCTGTCTACGAAAAACCCTGGATAACAGGGGAAATTCGTAACAAAGGAAAAGAGCTTGACGTAAAAAACTAGCAGTATTCTGGGACAGCTACCATAATAAACTTAAAGAATACAACAAAATAGTAAGATCAGTAAAACGCAACTCCTGGAAGCTTTTCTGTGAACAGGTTGACAGCGTAAATGGGTAACAAGATGGAAACAGTAGAAGAGACCTTAGGGCTTTTGATGAATACACACTTCCCTCCGATCATCACGACACATGTAAATGTATCGCTGCCGTTTAAGGCAGCGGGACCAGATATAGTCTTCCCGGCTCTGCTCAAAGAGGAAGTGGACCATATCCTATAACGCGTGTCTAAAGTTTGCGTATACCCCCAAAGCCTGACAGGAAGCGAGGGTAGTTTTTATTCCCAAACCTGGGAAGGCAAGCTACGCAAAACCTAATTCTTATCGACCGATAAGTCTAACATCGTTCTTACTCAAAAGAATGGAACGCACAATCGATACCATGATTAAGAGCAAGATTGTAAACGATATGCTTAAATATAAAAAACATGCATATGTTAAAGGACGTAAAAAGATGTATACACTGGCAGTATGCATTGACATCGAAGGCGCTTTCAACAACGTCAGCACAGATACACTCATCCAGACTATCAACATTTCCAATAAGGTTAAATATCTGGGAGGATTCTAGATAAGACACTTAAGTGGAGATACCACATCCAAGAAAGAGCAACCAAAGCTTATAGATGTTGGCTTTTCAAAAGCGTAATTAGACCTGTTCTAACATACGCATCAGTAGTCTGGTGGACAGCTATGGATAAAAATGTAATACCAAAATATTACAGAAAGTCCAACGAATGTGCTGCTAAAGCATTTGTGGCGCAATGAGGACAACACCAACTAACCAACAACATATCATCAAAAATTTTGCATGTAACAACAGGAGAATAAACAGAAAATTTTGTATCGGACGAATATGTGAAACAATTGTAGCTTTCTCATGTGAAACATTAATTCCTACCAGAGACTCGTGGAATGACGGATTCCTATCGCAAATGCAGACTGGAAACTATTGTTATACAGACGGCTCAGTGCTAGGGGAGAGCGGGACTGGGACCCTTTGTTGAAGAACCAAATACCGTAGTCTCCTTCCGCTTGCCCGATCACAATACGATCCTTCAAGCAGAGGTTCTGACGATTGCAGAGTGTCTGAACTGGCTAAATGCTAACACTCTCTCACGGCGTAGTACGCATTATATGGGTACCAGGTCATGCGGGAATTAGAGCTAACGAGATTGCAAACTCTCTCGCCAAAACAGGCAAGAAATTAGCAACAATAAACTTAGACAATCCAGTGCCGTTTAATGCGTCAAGTCTAGTGTTAAAGACATGGGCAAAAAACGCCCACATATCCCTGTAGAAAAATGAAAGTATAGAGAAACCCACAAAAATCCTTTGAGACGACCCCAATCAGATAAAAACGAAAAACCTTTTATTACTAGTAAGAAGGAGATTAGTGAGGTAACAGACATACCTACGGGGCAACTGGGCCAACCTGTACGGGTTGTGTAACGATACTATAGTTAGTTGAGTAGGTTTGGCTGGGTAGCGAAATAAGTGCAGCGTATCATGTGGGCCGGTGCCACATGCAGGGCAGATGTTCTGCCCATTGCTGTCAATCTGCGCCCAATAGGCTTTGAGGCCAAAACTACTCGGATTTGTCGGGGCAGCTCTCGCTCTTCAGCTGCGTGGGTAAGGGGATGATCTGCTAGTACGGTATTCACTCTATATTATGCCTTCTGAGACCGCGTAGGAGTAAAATGCCAGAAAGGTAGAGGTTAAATAGTTCCGGCGATATCACCCCACCTCTATGTTTCACTCTACAGACATTAAATTTCGTGTTTCTGAGTTCCACGTACGATTGGCGTCCACGCATGTAGATGACTGATTGCCATGTTACGTCATTCATGAGACCTGTGGACACGATGGATATATCCGGTGAGCTGTGGCAGTCAGAAGTTGAACTAATATTGGTCATATAACGCGGGGCACACCTATTTATGATGTACACGTTAAGTACATCTACCTCGGCGGTTCCAAACTTGTACGGGTCACAAGAGTCAAGCTCAAGCGAAGTATGTTACAGAGTGGTGCAATAGGAATGCTAATCATCCACCTTTGCTGCAATCCTTCCTAAATACGTTGTATCACAACTTTGAAGCCTGCAGGTGATACCCAGCTTAGTCTCCCGGATTGCAGCTGCCTTGATCATTGATCTTAACCCGAAGACCATTGCAATTATACTCGAGAAAAAATGCGGTATCTGGAACTTCAATAGCAATGTGTGGCGTCAATTGCTGTACTGTGATGACGTGGTCGACGAAGATGATGACTAACTGGGGTCTACATTGGCGCTGCAAGAAGCAATGCAGCGGTTAAAAAAGAACAATCCAGAAATTCACCCACTCCATGTATCCGTTGCAACTCACCGAGACCGATCTGTGGTGCGATTATAGCAAACGGAGCAGAACCATGATCAGGTTGGTCTCGATCCCGGCTCGGACAAAACAACAATTCCGAGTAATGTGCTCCCACATCAGAAAAATGGATGAATACGACTTTGTATTGCTGGGTTGACACCCCTTGTCGAAGATTTGTTTCTTCGAGCCAACCCGATACATAGAACCGGCCGGCGGAGGCAGAGATTTTAAAAACACAGAGGGAGTATTGGCGCTTTCGGTTGTGTGTAACTAAAGAATATTCTAGTCCGTCCCAATTTTGAAACCTACACAATATTTCTCGGGACCCATACTTTGGGAAATAATGCCATATATGATTTTTCAGTCAGATTATAATATTTTATATACTATATTTTTAAAGGTGTTTATTGCTTCACAATTACAGCATACACACAAAATCTAGCACATGTACACCTAAATTATGGTTCGACGCCATCATCGCATTTGAGGAAAACACCGTGCAATGGGACCGCCCATGCCACGGCCGAACCGTAAACAGCGACACCCATAAATTATATGAGGCGCTGTTGTTGAGTGCCAATGTCGATTAACACTATTCATACAATTCGTCCTGTGGTACTCTTTAGTTTCAATTTAAATATAAGATATAACATAAATTAATGTTTCGCTACAATACCAAATATGAAGATAGTACCAAAGTCCGATGAAATCGATTTTTAAAAATTTTCTTCGATCGAACAAGAGTCCACAATGTACAATTGAATAAATATTAAGAAATAAAATAGCGAATAGAAACTGAGTAAATGAATTTTAAGTATGTAAAAAGAACTAGATATATACATACTTTTCATTTTCGTATGGAATGCTCTTCTTTAAACTCTGTTCTTGTACAATGCTGATGCAATTTAGTAAGGAGGCATATAAGTTTATTCTTAACTTCTGTGACACCACTCCGCTTACAATTATCCATTCCAACAAGTACTTTAAAATGAATTTTATATTTAATGTGTTGGATTTTTGTGGTTGGCATTTTTTTGCAGCGACAGAATTTTGTTCGTTTCGTTCCAAGTCTATGCAACAAAATAGAATCAAAATAAGTGTAAAATTGGTATTATTTGTATACTTACCGAATTGTATTGCATTTGAAAAACAATTGCGTAAGTTAACAAGTAGTATCAAAATTGTTTCCGATATAATTGCAGATATCTCCAAAATGGATTGATTTGGACTTACTTTAAGTAGAATTGTTTGCAATATTTCGATAATTAATTCCTGTTTCTTTGATGTGGATAAGCAAGAATTGGGAACACAGCTGAACAGTATTTCTGACAACTATTTAAAAATAAACAAGAAAATTAAAAATAGTTTTCATTTATATTGTAATATAATATAGTATTTTTGTTTTAAGTTTTTAGTAAGATATCTTAACTGCTTGTTTATTCCACTTTTTGAAATACTAAAAATTTCGTATGTTCTATAAAGTTGTTTACAAAGGCTCTTGGTAAATTATTGTAGTTTGATGTCTCCTCAAGGTTTTATATCTGTAGGCCTAACTATTTCATTAGTCAATTGTTTCTAATATTATGACAACGATTTCTTCTAATACCTTGGTAATAATATAGATATTTATTTTTATAGACGGATTTCACTCTTGTAGATGGGACTAATTATTAATTTAATTTGACATTTATTTACAATAATCTCAAGTATTTATTACACCTTCGATTTTGTCAAATATAGTTTTAATTTGACCGATAATACAATAATTTAAAATTTAATTTAGTAAATTCCGTTCATTTAAAGTCTTTATTTTGAAAAAGAAGCTTGATTTTTTTTCATATATATTTGGTTTTGTGACAACAACAAAATTGATTATAGTGATGACTTTAACATCATAATAGTTGTTCTGGTAATTGGGGTTGAGCTTTCATCTTTCTTCTGATAAATCTTTTCATTTTCTCCTGTACAAATACAGATATGCGCACTTATATACGTGAGCACTCTCGCTTTGCCAAGAATGAGTAGTGATTTTGCCCGCAGTTCTATGTGCATATATCTGAATTGAATCTGGTGTAACAGTGAAAGTTTATTTAAATAATCAAGTACTTGATATTTCAACACAAATTCAACTAATTTTAAAGAGTTAGAACTATTTATATAGCAAAACACAGATTCTCTCAAAAAGTCAAAATGACCACCAGTTTAAAAAATTTAAGCTGAAATCCATCTTGACCTACTCTCTTTGACTTAATTGTAGATTGACATGAAAAAAAATTATAACAACAAAAACCAATCGAGTTCAAAGATTAATTAAAATTATCAACAAAAAAATCTAAATCAACTTACCTGACTCCAAGCTTCTATAAAATTAACAATTGCGCTTCGTTTGCATCGTTCTTCGTTTACTTTAAGGGCATACAACATTACGGACTCAATTTCTTGCAATATTAATCTTCGCTGTCCACTTGCTATTGTGCTTTGAACTATTTTTAATTCACCGTGCAAAGTCAAGTGGATTTTACGTAGATCAATAATCTTGTATCCTTCGTTCGTCTTACATTCACATTCTTTAAATATTTGATTCAGTAATGATCGATCAAAGAAGTTCCATGTTGGAACAGGAATATGACCCACATCCAAATCGACAGCAACGATTAGTTCACATAATAAATTATTTCTCATTATCAATGATGTATTCGTTGTCGTATCAATAACTGTGTTGGGCTTTTTCGAATAAAAATGGCTAAGTTCCATAGATGCTGTTTCTTGGTTGCTTTTCGAAGACACGCCCAAAAAAAAGTCGGATATATGTTGAAACCTGCTCAATTGACAATTGGATGCAGTCAATTTTAATTCTATTGCTGTACACCTCAGTAAGTAGCTTATCTGATTTATGACATGAGAACTTTTCATGGTCTGAACAGGTAATTCACATAAATAACGACAGAGAAAGTCCTGATTTATACGTAAGTGTCGCAATATTTGATCGGATGTTTTAGGATTTTCACACAAAGAAAATAACAAACCAAAGGAACGTTCAACGATGCTCTCAACGTCCGTTCCAATATCATTGAAGTTCTTTTTTAATTGCAAATGTTTTTCTAATATGTGAACCAACGACTTGGTGCAATTGTTCCCAATATCTAATGAACCCAATCGTTTTTTATTAGCAATGTGTACTTCTTGTAAATGATCGAATCCAAGAAGAAACTGTGCGAGATTAGGCGTTGGTTGACGCAAACAATCTTGAATGAGTATAATAATTGCTTCCTTAAGTTGTAACTGCACATTTGGAGATTCCAAATTCTCCCATGATACATTGCCATCATTTTCCATTTTTGCCTGCCTTTGGGCAAAATCAATTTCCAAACATTCCACAAAACCATGTCTTAGCGCAATCCTTGTCTCCTCGTTCTGTGTAAAAATTCCGACTATTTGTGAGTTTACGCCCGGTTGGCTTGACACCATATGAAGGATTTTAACCGCTTCAAGAGCATGGTATGGCAACCAATTAAAATATGTTAAGAAATATGTTGTGTTCAATACGTGATCCGGTTTTCGGCTCCGAGGATTGATATCTAGTAGAATCTTGTTGAGTTCTAAAAGCAGTACGGAGCTATTTGAAATTGAATGAGCTTCGAAAAAAATGTCCTGATTTTTCAATCCTAGTTTTAGAATTTGTAAACAAAGCAATGCACATTCCTCCAACACTTCTTTTCCCTTAAACTTTTTAAGGTCGTCTATTTCATTACGGGCATCGTCAATTATCTGTAGAATCAATCTCAATGCATCTGATTTTGTTTGCAAGTTGAGCATTACATGGAATCCCGGGGGTGGATTCATATCAACATTTTCTTCAAAATCTCTTGGATTCACTTCATAAATATCTAATAGATAATGTATAAGTTTTAAGCATTTTGATCCAACTCTCCATTTCTCACATGGCTCTTTGTATGTCCTAAAAGAGAAATTAAAAAAATATTTTTGAAATTAAAAAACTAATATTATTCAAATCTTATATCTTCAAGCCTGTAGTGGAATTATCTACCTTATTTTTGGAGTCACCTAAGATACAATATGCAAAGATACAGATGTAAAATTAAGGTGTTGTAGCCTGCCACAACGGAGAAACCCATAGTTTTTAACAGAACCAATTAAACTCAGAACAAACGAAAAATTAATCCTTTCCAACAACCAATTAACTTACTAACACTCAAAGCACACCTAAAAACTGAAAAATTAACAAAACTCAGCTCATTATAAATATAACTCGAAAATTACTTTTTTGAATGCTTTAACATATCGTCATGATAGTCTTGCAGGTTCTGGGACGGAGCATACTTTTGTAATTACTTACACATCTATCCATCTATTTTTTAATATTTCCAGTGGACAAATGAAATATTTAACGACTAATAATTAACCAAACCAATGTTCAACTGTTGATTAAAGAGTAATCGCCACATATCATAACAGTACAAGTACACAAATTCCACACCAATTCCACCAAACACCTAAGCCTAACTATTTTGCAACAACCAAATAACTGTGGTATCCCGAACAAAAAGCAAACACTGTTCGAAGTTTATAATCATTATAATCATAATCTATAATGCAATAAGACTACTAATAATTCTGTAATTTACGTAACCAATACCAACAACGAGATGGTTACTGAAAGAAGAGATTAAACGCGACAAGAAGAATTCATGGATGAATTTCTGCGAGACGATGCAAGAAGTCAACGCAATAAATAAGAGAGGAGAGTATGCGTATATTTGTACAATGTACATAAGAAATAATGTTGTCAATCTACTATTTTTATTAATCATTTGGGTATTCTCATGGGTGTACAATTGCATGTGATGTACAATTGCAAATACCAACAATCCTCCTCAATTGTACACGACTTGTACCAAGGTTCTAAATTTCTCCAGCTTTGACAATGGTAGTGGTTTAGTCAGCATATCAGCTATCATTTCTTCGGACTGGCAATAATTACATTCGATGACCTTTTTATCAATATAATCCTTTACGAAGTAATATTTCGTGTGAATAAGTTTTGTTCTATTACTTAATTTCTCCTCCTTGATTAAGTTTAGGCAACTTCTGTTATCTTCGTAAATTGTCGTCGGTTGGACTTGTTGACATCCGAAGTCTGCTAAAACATTTCTCAACCGCTTTGCTTCTTTTGCAGCCTCCGACAGAGCAGTGAATTCGCTTCGGTTGTAGACAGAGAAACAAGTATTTGCTTTTAACAAGCCCAGCTGATTGGACAATCATTCAATAAAAACAAATATCCAGAGTTACTTTTCCGTTCAATTCGACATTCAGCCCAATTAGCATCAGCGTATCCGTTTAAAGTATTCGGAGTATCAGTCTCACAACTAAGTTTCAAGTACATGTCTACAGTGCCTGTAAGATATTTCGCCACGCGCTTCAGCTTAATCCAATCTTGTTGAGTGGGACAACTTATTTTCTTTGATAAAATGGATATACTGGCAGCAATATCAGGACGAGTGTTAACAGCTACATACAGCAAAGAGCCCAATAAACTTTGATATTCAGTATTTCTTAAGAAGGGTTCTGAATCTTCTTCTCCATATGAAGGTTCTAACAGGTACTTTGCGATTTTAGAATCTTTAAGGCCTAATTTGTTAATTATCTTATTGATGTACGCTTTCTGCCTAGTAAGAAATTCACCACTGCTTGTCCTCTTGACTTCAATTCCCAAAAATGTTGTTACCGGACCGAGATTCTTAACTACAAAATGATTGTTCAACATTTTACCAACATCCACAATATGATTTTCTTTTCTCGAAGATACCAACAAATCATCAACATACAGCAATATAAATAACTCTTCCCCATTGCATATGTTGGTGTATACACAAGGATCCGCTTTGCTTCTCGGAAAACCATTATTAATCAAAATATCATTAAGAGCAGTGTTCTAAACGTTTGCTGCTTGCTTCAAACCGTAAATACTTTTCTTCAGCTTACAAACCTTGTTTGAAACCAGGTTGTTTTGTCATGTATATTGTCTCCTTTAAATTACCATTCAGGAATGCACACTTGACGTCCATATAATGGATATGCATCTTCTTTAGCCCAGCAATTGAAAGTAATATACGAAATGTTGATTGCCGTGTTACAGGCGCAAAAACTTTATCATAATCAGACCCATAGTTTTTATTAAATCCTTTTGCAACAAGGCGAGCTTTATAGCGTTTAACTTTGCCGTCTTTTTAGTTTTCAATTTGTAAATCCATTTGCATCCCATCACATTGGCTTTTTCAGGTTTAGTAACCAATTACAATGTATTATTTTTCATCATAGAATCGATCTCCTCCTGCATTGCAGCAGACCACTTTTCTTCTTGTTTTGACAAAAAAGCTTCTTTAAAAGTCTTTGGTTCAGTTATTGATTCGGATTCCATAAAACATGCTGAGTATCGAGCAGGATGGACACCTTTATTTTTTCTTGAAGATCTACGAAGGGAAGCTTCGTGATTACTATTGCTTGTAGTAGGCACCTCTTCTTCATCCTCAGTAAAATATTCCAAATCGCTACTCAAACTACAGTACGAACCAACAGGACAGTTAATTGCAACAGCTTCTTCCTCTTCCATTTCCCGTTTTGACGAAACGTCGATTTCTATTGGTTCTTTGACTTTATCGCTTTTATCTTCAATCTTTTCATTTGAATTTACAAATCTAAAATCTCTGCTTATTGTCACTTTGTTGGTATCGGTATCAACAAACCGCAATCCTCTGCTTTCTTCGTCGTATCCAATGAAAGTTAAAAGCTTAGATTTATTGTCCAACTTTTTTCTTGCACATGGGGTCTCATATCATAAGCCTTTCTTCCAAACACCTTAAAATTGGCTATGTTCGGTTTTGAACCTTCCCATCTTTCGTACGGGGTACACCGAACAGAATTTGAAATCAATCTATCTTGCAGATAATTAGCGCACATGACTGCTTCGCCCCAATACTGTTTAGGTATTCAGCTTCTTCCAGAAGACATCGGGCCATTTCCAATAAATACCGGTGTGCTTTTATAACGCAATTGATACAAATTGTTGACTAAATCTGCTAATCTAATTTCCAAATCCTTATCGTCGCGTATTCTGCACATATTACCAGAAAACGTAAATGTATAACCCTTAGTTGACAACCTTTTCACCGACAATAAATTTTCTTTAAATGATGGAATGTATAAAACATCCCCAATAGTAATGACTACTGCAGACCCTTTGGCATTCACCATCGATACTTTACAAACACCTTCACCATTTGAATAAACATCATCGCCATTTGCTACGGTCACCTTCTCACACCACGATAGATCAAGTTCCACAAATTGATATTTATCACTGCAAATATAGCACTTTGCTCCAGAATCAACAACCCATTCACTTTTAGTACCGTTCATTATGAAACATTCATTTTCCATACAAAAATTTTCTTGTGCGATTTTAGCTTTGTGTTGGTCCGACTGCTTATTTTTTAACTTCCAGCAATTCTTACGATTGTGCCCAACACCGTGACAATGGTGGCAAATAATTTTCTTTTTGTTGTGCGCAAACTTATTTGTTGCTTTCAAAACAGAGACTTCGCACACTTGCCTTTTCTTTAATTTTTCGTGATCTTCCAGTAATTTATTTTCCACAACAGTCATTGTGAGATCTTTCGCATCTCTTACCTCAAGAGTAGTTACCAGGGTGTCATATGTAACAGGCAGGCTACTCAACAGCATAGATATAATCCATGACTCAGACAATTTTTCACCCAACGACTGCAACTTTGTAAAAATCACCTTCATTTTTGTTATATGGGAATCCATATCTTCCCCAGGTTGTAACTTGAGTTCACAAATACTCCTCATAAGTTTCACCTAGTTACTCAAATAAGATTTTTCATGATACGATTTAAGTGTATCCCAAGGTGCTTTTGCATTTACACAATTTGAAATACGGTGCACTTCACTGTATTCAAAAGCTGATCCAATCAGAATTGTTGCTTTAGTGTCACGCTCTTTCCATTTTTCATCAGGCACGTCCCACACTTTTTCCTTCTTCAACAACAGCTGCATTCTATATTTCCACAACTCATAATTATCCCTGTTCAGCTTGGTGAACAACAATTTTGAGTCAGCCATGATTCGCTCCAATCGGGTAATTTTCCACGATAAATTTCACAATAAAATTTGCAATTGTGAACAAATAGCAGAATCCAGGCACCAAGAATATTTAATTCAATTCTCCAAGAAACAGCGAAAACAAAATCCTCACTAGATGCGGTAGCATAAGCCCATAGCCTATTAGAAATGATTGTTGAGACACGAGGATCGTTTAAGTTTAACAATTCAAGTTCTTTATTTAAGAAGAAGTAAAAGACAACTAACTGTACGTTACAAATATAAATTATGTATTACATTACACTACATGGCAAACTATATAAAATGCAATAAATAAGAGAGGGGTGAATATAAAAGAGTATGCGTGTATTTGCACAATATACATAAGAAACAATGTTGCTACATCTAATATTATTATTAATCATTTGGGTATTCTCATGGGTTGCCGTGCTCATGTGATGTACAATTGCAAATAACAACAGTGAGCAACACGCAGTATTACAAAACACGTATAAAAAAAATTTATTTCTATTCTTTTGAAAGATTTGTGGAGACATAAAGTTCCTACGATCAAATTACATCAAGAAATATTGGCTAAAAATGAAACCCCAACATGCTGCATATTTAAAGAATGTTGAGATATTAGAAATAACTCCGTCATTCAAACTTCCTGAACTACCAGGTGGAACATTTGATACACACACATATAGTTTATTTTTTACACCAAAAATGCATGATTGGAGTCTTGAAAGGAATGCCGCCTTTAACAACTACAAAATATGATATGTCATCGATTTGTTTTAATGATGAATCGAA